TACACCAGCCAAGCACAAGCCAGAGTGTGCCCAGAGGCAGCAAGGCAGGGAGGCCAGAGAGAAGGGGTCCCCACGTGTCTGCAGCCCTTTAAGAACCTTTCCTGACCTCCCCTTGACCATGCCCTAACAGGCATGGTCAAGCACACATGTAGCCAGCCCTTAGGAGGCGTGGTTACAGTGTCTCCCTACAAACATCTTTTGGGTTGGATTTCGTTTATATTCAGGCAAGAAAAAGCAGAGTTGCTGTTAAGTGATGAAAGTCTGTATTTGTGTCTTTTCTTTCCTGTTGAAATGTAGCCAGAAATGTAACCAATACATGGGTTACTTTTGAGTAAAATAATAATTCCACAGACTGTGGGTTTTGAGCTCAGTGTGCCAGGTACAAAGCTGGGTGCTTCCACTGCATGGTCCCATTTGTGACTCACATAACCCCCAGGACAGGGAAAACTATCCCCTTACAGATCAGGAAGCCAAGTCTTTGGAGATGCCATTTATTCCAGGTTGTGTCACTCCTTCATAGCAGTACTCAAATCCCTGATGAGGCCATGAGGGCTCCAGAGGATTGAAGAGACAAGGCAAGATGCTCCCAGTGTGACAGGACAGCTGAGGGAACAGAGGGGTGATGAGGAAAGAACGGGAGCCGGGCACTGAGAAAGGAGAGGAGCGCTGGAGGCTGCCTGGGTCCCTGGGAGTGGCAGTGTGCCCATAACCTACTCACGCTGTGCAGCCGTGGCTGATGTCCTTTTGTGCGGTTGCGTGATGGATGGGCAGTGTTCCCGGGCCTAGACAGGGTCTGGAGTCATGTAGGTGACAAACTGGAGGTGGGGTCATGTGAGGGATTATGCTGACTAGGTTAGCAGGAAGACACCCACACTGAACTTGAACAGCACCATTCCCTGGGTCTGGATCTGGGACTGTATAAAGGTAGGAAGTTAACAGTGCCAGCATCCTCCATGTCCTGAGGCTGTAACTTCCCCTCCATGGTGAACTGTAACCTTCAACTCTGAGCCAAAAGTAGCCCTTTCTCGCTCAAACTGCCTGCCTTTGTGGGGATGTCTCAGCACAGCAACAGAAAGGTTACTGAGTTTTGGGTTTTTTTGTTTTTTGTTTTTTGTTTTTTGTTTTTGGTGGTTGGTTTTTGATGCATTGGGTCTTTTTTGTTGGCAGTTGGTTTGTTTGTTTTTAGTCAGAATCTCTCTGTGTAACCCTGGCAGGCCTAGAACTTCACAGGTATCTTAGACTGACCTCAAACATACAGTTCAATTCCCAGCACCCACAAGGCAACTCACAACTGACTGTAACTCTCATGCCAGGGGACCTGACACCTTTACACAAACATTTGTGCAGACAAAACACCAATGCCATGAACTAAAATAAATAAATTTTTAGAAAGGAAAAGAAAAGAAAAGAAACAGGCCTCATCACATAGCTTCCTGGAGGTAGAAGGAAATAAAATCTGCAGTTTTAACATGAGCGTGCCCTCATTATAGCTCTCTCTCTCTCTCTCTCTCTCTCTCTCTCTCTTTCTCTCTCTCTCTCTCTGAGTTGGCTTTGTGGGAAAGATTGCTGTTTCATTTCATGGAAACCCAGATGGAATCTGTCGCATGGTCATAAAACACAGAAACTTGTCTGAATTTAAGAAAAGCAACAGCTTTTTTGCTCATGGGTCAGATTTGCAGCCCAAGTGTCCATCACCAAGTACACACAGACCGGAATTTCACCAAGATATCAAAAGTTGTGCCTGATATTTATTGTGCAAGTTTAGTGGTCAGGGAGAGCTTAAGAAGTTGGTGGTAGCATGCCTAGAAACTACTTTAAAGATGAGCAGACCAAGAATCAGAATGCACACTAACCAAGTGACTCGTCTGTCTTGGGTAGAGCCGGGATATAAGCTAAGGTTTCTCTTATTTTCCTTTAATTTCTGATCTCGTGTGCTAGTGGGAAGAATCAATACTGTTCGTTCTGATGGCTCCGCTGAGTAATTTGGAGTTCCACTGCAGAGTTAGTGTCTGAGAAAGATGGGGGGTTGGTTACTTTATTCTTTTTTCACCTCCTAAACATAAATTAAATCAATATTAGCCATGTCTGTGTAACCAGGCAACACACAGATTTTTGAAGGTTCATGGTTGGGTCTATTGATATAAAAGTTTCCCTTTTTGTCATTACACTTAATGTCCTAATGGCCTGAATAGCTGGCTTTCACCCGGCTGTGTGTCAGGGCAGTGCTGGGCCTATTGTAGGAGACTGGGTGCTCTTCCATGGAAATCTGTGCCAGGAGAATTCAGTCCTCAGTGGACAGCCTGCAGGGCTCAGTTTTCTGTTTTGGTAGAAACCTCCCTGGGGTTAGCATCCCCAGCTTGATGTTGCACAGCCTGAACCTCTCAAAACTGTCTGCATCATATTTACATTCTCTTAAACTCTTATTCATACATTTGTCTCTGAAAGTCATACACTGCCATCCACATTTCGTTGTGAATATCATTGTCTATCCCAATAACTGGTGTTAAACAGCAAGTGAATATTTTTTAAAGGGGACTTCTCTTGCACAAAACCCAGGTTTATTACAATGTCAGTATACCTGGTTTCACTTTTAAGAAACCACAGTATTTTTTTCCTTAGGATTATCTTATCATAAATGTCCAATAGCTTTTTAACTCTACACTTGCACTCAGAGTTTTCAAAGGGAAAAAATATGTCTTATTACATGATCCTGACTGATTGCTTTTGAAAATAAAACTTCAATTTTCAACAACAGAGGACCTGAAAGACAGCAGCAAGTGTTTCAGAAACCAGTGTGCAGAGAGTACGTGCCTTGTTTCTGTCCTTTAACTCGTAAGAGTTGGAGTAAAATTCCCGAGTTGAGATGTGCCGTAGTTACAGATAAGCTTTTCCAAGCAGAATCCAGGTTGCTGCCCAATTCCCAGTTACTGAAACATTGAGTTCTGGTAGAAGCAGCAGCACCAGCAATAGAAACAGGGAAACCAGGGTCCCGGTTCTCATGCCCTCTCTGGTTACCCTCAGTGAATTTTCCACAGATGCTAAAGCTGCTATCAGAAGCAAACGTGTGTGTGAGCGCCCAGGTTCAGAGTCTCCCAAGTCATGGCAAATGATGTTTTGCTCCTGTTTGTACACTATGACAATTTGCCTTCCTGTTAGAAGAAGTCACTGGAGTATTTACGGTCTAAAGACCATTTTGTCCATGGAAATAATTTTTATTGTTCTGAGTCACTCTGTTGTGTGGAAATGGAGCATGAGTTCCAGGGCAAGGATGAGATGATCTGTTTGCTTTTCTTTATTCCCTCTTAAATGGTTTTGAATGCATGAATGTCAGTATTGTCCAAGTATTTCCATATTTTTATTAGTTTAGAAGCAACGCCTGTGGTGATGTCTCTTCACTGACAGTCTGAACTATGTACTCAGCATTCTGGCAGGAGTTCCTGCCCAGTGTGATGTGAGCTCTTGTTTTCCTCTTAGCTCTGCTCATGTCTCCTTAATGGATGCTTACCATTTTAAAGGTTGCAGAAACCTTAAGAAAAATTGAAATTGCTTTTGCTGAGCTACCAGAGGGATGTGAATTAAGTTGTAAGCTTCTGAGGGTACACACCTGTAATCCCAATACTCAGAGGCAGAAGTATGAGGGTCATGAGTTCAAGGCCAACCTGGGTTACCTAGTAACATGCTATCTCAAAATAGAATAATCTAAAAAAGTAGAAGTAGATTTGGCCTCCATCATAACATTCCCTGTTGCCGCCAGAGCATCTCCATGGTGGATAAACCAGGGAGTCCCTGACCTTAATTTTCCAATATTTCTTTGGTTACACAACAGCTATTGTGTTCATTAATGACCTCTGGGGAACTCAGTTTTTTAAAAACACATGAATATAAATTTTAACAACAGGGCTGATGTGGGATGCCCTTCTGTATGCTGTGAATATGTTTTATTGCCATTGGTTAATAAAGAAGCTGATTTGACCTATAGCCAGGCAGAATAGAGCTAGGCAGGAAATCCCAACAGAGATACAGAGAGAAAGAAGGTGGAGTCAGGGAGATGCCACACAGCTGCTGGAGGAGCAAGATGCTAGAGTATTACCAGTAAGCCATGGTCACATGGCAATAGATAGATGAGTATAAATGGGTTAATTTAAGTTGTAAGAGCTAGTTAATAATAAGCCTGAGCTAATAGGCCAAACAATTATAATTAGTATTAAGCCTCAGAGTAGCTATTCGGGAACTGGCAGGCGGGAGAGAAAACTCCAGCTACACAGGACAGCTTATGCTTACTGAGAAGTCTTGGGTCAATGGCATTTCAGAAAGTATTTTCAAAGCAACTAATGACTGTCTTTCCTTTAGACTAAAATGTCGAGTTACTGGTCATCACTGTTCCTTCAATTACTACTCTCAGTGTGTGTGATTTTGACCATCGTGCTTAGGCTTAAAAATTAGTTATTGTACTTTCTCACAAGGGTAAGAGAACTGGGTGGGCCTCCTGCCTTCTTGACTTACCAGCATTCTAACTGGTCAGTCTCTAACAGAGCCCTAACTAGTTTACCCTCTTAGGCAAGAAGAGACTAGAGATCTAGTCAGCCTTACACTAGAAGGAAACTGATGAGATTTTGTTTTGTTTTTGAGGCACTGTATCATTCTGTAGACCAGGCTGACCTTGAACTCACAGCAGTATTCCCAAGTTAGCGTCTGAAGTTCCAGGACTGCAGGCATGAGTCACCACCCCCAACTCTAAACAAGTGCTTTCTAGCAAATAATTTCTCTTCTTAGAAATGGCTATGACTGATCCTGCTCTCTGCTTTTTATCTATACAATATACATTATTTTATCCACAAGAATGAGTGTGAGTGTGTGTGTGTGTGTGTGTGTGTGTGTGTGTGTGTGTGCTCGCACGTGTGCATCCGGGAATGTGATCTGGTGCTCAGGTCTGGAGAGTTGGTTTTTTACTTTAGGAAGTGGTTGGTATTAATGTGAATTGTCTTATTTTCAACAGGTTGACATGATGAAAGAGGCTTTGGAGAAACTTCAGCTCAACATAGTAGAGATGAAAGATGAGAACGCAACCTTAGATGGTGGCGATGTCCTGTTCACAGGTATACTACACTGATTTCCTATCTAATACCTGGCTCAAACTTGCTTGTTTCACTAAAATGTTTCTTAGTCATCAAATTAATGAATACTAAGTGCAGCGGTCTACAAAAGTTCACAAAAATCACAGTGAAGAAGAAAGAATGGCCTTCCATTTGGAGATAGTCAGTGTAATGTTCACGTACATTTCAGGCTTCCTTGCCGAGCAGGTCCTTTTTACCGGAACATTCATGAGCGTAACTGATTATCCTTCATAAGGACATTTTGATATGTATCATGTTTTCTATAATTGAGTTTATTTGTTGTGTAGTATTTCCATTGTGTAACCATACACCGGGTTTGTACTTAAAAGACTCTTAATTCAAAATTAACATCATTTACAAATAATCTCTTTCCAGATGGCAAGATGAATTCAAATACATTTCTATGCAAATTGATTTGGCTGCGTGCCAGCATGACTCAGTGAACTATAAATGTTAGCATTATTGTTGATCTAAGCAGAGTCCATGTAAGATGGCTACTCAAGAAATAATAACTATAGCATTTAACCTTTCCACGTCTTTACGATGCTGGATTATTAAGTAAAGTCTCCATCCTCAGATGCAACCTGGTTATACTGAAGAGCAAGATAGTTACTAGAATTTTCATTTCTAGTGCCATCTTGTTTGCCCCTAAATGTCAAAGAATTTCACTACCGTGGTCCGAATACAGAGAGCGGTCCTGCAAGCAGCCTCGAATGACCCACTGAAGACCAGGCTTCCTGGGAGTGAGTCTGAGAGTCTCACCCGTGAATCCCACATATGTCCAGCCCCTTTGTTGTTTAGAAGACATCTCATGTTACTAACATTTAGATTTAATAAATGTCCCTAGAGAAGGGAGAATGGGAAGAGGAAGCAACTTTGTGTGACATTCTAGTGTTTTCTTGCTTGGTGTCCTATGCCCATGACTGGAGCCATTGTATTGCCAGTCTCCAAGAGGTGCCGTGCAAACCATGGCTTTTGTGAATAGCATCTGGTGAAGCTGTGCTGTGTTCCAGCCGGTGTGGCCTGACACAGGCCAGGGCCTGCCTCTGGAGTCTGCCTTGAGCCCTCAGAACACAGAATGAGGGAATGGACCATACTTTATTAGCTCTGGTTGTGCCCAAGCCAACTCAGCTATTCTCTGACTCTTTCCAGTGAGATTCCCCCCTTAGATGGTCTTCGCACCTCTTGAGGGTAGCATCTTCCTTCTTTTACAGACCTGAGCAGCAGCCTGCTTCCTCTTAGAAAATGGCCTTCTGTAGAGCACTAGATGTGTAAGCCACACCTCCTTGCTGTGCTGTGCAGAGCTGATCCAGTCAACTCATGCGAGTCACACCTGACCATCCCCGCGGTGGGGCCATGCCACACATTGGGCATCTCTTCCTTTGGTCAAAGTTCTTTCCAAAGCATGTCATCTTCGCTTCATTGAGCATAGAGCCTTGCCCTTGATATGGTCTGAGCCTTTCTTTTCATGCTCAGTAAGTTCACATCTTAGGAGTTATTTTACTCAAACTGAGATAAGGGACTGGGAGGCAACTTGATGAATGAACCACTTGCCACTCAAGGGGCTGGACCTGAGGTCTAATCCCCATAACCCACAAAAAAAGACAGAAACAGCACCACACATGGTCCCAGTGTGTCTACGGTAAGATGAGAGGTGGAGGTGGGAGAATCCCCAGAAGCTTGGGGCCTGGCCACCCTGGCTTGCACCATGGTCAACAAGAGACCCCACCTTATGCAGGGTGGTTAGTTTAAGGACCAACACCCAAAATTGTCCTCTGATCTCCACACTTTCAACCCCGTGTTTCTTCCAGTCCACCCTCCATCTCTCCTTTGATAAAACATAAAATTTACAATCTTCCCATTGTTAAGTGTGCAATTCATGAACCATCCCCAATATATGCAAGTTGACCCCTCAGCTTTTCAGTCAGGCAGAGCTAGGTAACTAGCAGATTCTGTAGCACTTTCTGTGTGCTCTCTGCTCCCTTCTTTCCATGAGTCAACGCTTCATTAATAATTTATCAGGAAATGGACAGAAGGAGAGCTACTTTCCAATTCCACTTCCTGCTGGGAAATCTGTCAGTCACGAAAGCAGCTACTGGGGAAAAATTGTTTCCATCCCATTTCCCTTGAATAGATAACATCAATTTACCCCTTTATTTATTTATTTATTTTGTGAAATATAGATTCCACATAACAGAGTTATAAATGTATATTGCTGTTTAAAGACCAATAATAAAGTAGGCACTTGCATGCCCACCCCTGGATTATAAAACAGGATCCTGCCAGGACCACAGACACCCCATGTGGTCCCTCATCCCACCTTGGGGGCCTTCGCTTTACTGTCTGTAGATCATTCCCCGATCTTTCTTTGGAGTTTGCCTCGGAATATGTATTTCCACATTATATGATATTTAATATTGCTTTTCTTGTAAGTTCCTATTGCTGCAGTGTTCACGATGTGAATTCTCGTGTGATTTTTCTACTTTTGACCTAAGTTGACAGGTGTTAAATGTAATAGTTTTCTATGTTGAGCATTATTCTGTGGAAAGATATATACCACCAAATAATGGCGTGTAGTGTGGTGCTTCTTGGATTTTGTCCGTTGTTACCATCAACACTCCTGCGTTTCCTGGGCTCATGGATAAGAACTCTTCTGGAAGGCAACACTTGAATCCTGCCAGGCTTCTTGGATAAACTCTTTCCTGATTCAGTGAGATGGTTGTATGATCCTCCTTTTTCATCTCAGCTTTCTCATACTTGGTCAGTCTTGCATATCGGGGATAAAATCAACCCATCATTACTCACTGTTTCATACAGTTTGCTAATTTAGTTTGCTAATATAGTTCAAGCTTTCTTTCTTGTTTTCCTCATCTGGTTTTGGTAAAACTGTTCTATTACTCCCAAAATATTGTGTGGGGATGCTTCATATTTTTCTGTTCTTCGCAATCAGTGCGATTTATATTGCATATCCTTCACCTTGATAGGACAAGTGCATAAACAGCGCCTGGCATTTTATTAGTGGGGAAATTTTAACCTGATTCAGTTAATTTAATGATTATATAACTATTTAGGTTTTCCTGAGTCCGTATTGGTGAGCCCCATTTTCTGATTTTATCTCCTTTATCTCAATTATCAAAATGTTGGTTATGAAATTATTCTTAATGACTCTTCAGACTCCGTAGCCATCATAACTAGAACCTCTTCTCACTTGCCATGCGTGTGCCTGCCTCCCCCCCTCAGTCTCCTCTGCCTCCAGAAGCCTGCCAATTTTACTCATCTTTTCAAAGGACTAAATATTGGTTTTGTGAACCCTTTCTCTTGTGTTTCTGTTATCTCTCTTGTTTCTTTCTTTTAAATTTCTTTATGCTCTATTCTTTTTTCCCTACATAAATGAATTTTATCAATTTTGAAATGTACACTTCTCTAATGTATAGATTTCTCAACTACTACTTTAATTAAAACTTTTTTCTTTCTTTCCTTCTTTCTTTCTCTCTTTCTTTCTTTCCTTGTCTGTTTTCTGTTTTTGTTTGTTTGCTTAAGGCAAGATCTCACGTAGCCCAGGCTAGGTTCAAAGTCATTATATAGTTGATGATAAGCTTGAATTCCCAGTCTTCCGGCCTCCACCTCCCTACTACTAGAATTCCAGACTTGCTTGACCACACCCAGTGAGAACTTCTGTTTGATATGAGTATTTCCAATACCATTTAATTCTAAATGTTTCCCTAAGTTTCTGTTAGGATTCAATCATTGACTCAATAATAGATTTATTTTTAGTGTGGTCTGGAGACTCCCAGGTGCTCTCCTGAAGTTGTACACAGGAAAGCCGTTTAGCTGATATTTCCTTTAGAAATTATATTTCAAGCAAATCAAGTTTTTTCTTCTTAGAATTCTAAGTGTAAATGCAGATCTCTGATAAGTGTATCTGTGCCCAGACTTCAGTGGAGATGGAAACCAGTGTGTGGAAACTTAGTGGGAAAACGTAGTGTAGGAATTAGGCCATTGTCGAGGAACCCACTTGGTCATTCTAGCCCCACCTCACTGAAGTATTTGTAGCCATTGGTCACATGCCTTTTGTGAAGTAAGAAGTGATGGATATATGGACCTCTCTGGGAAAAGAGAAAATGTAACTAACAGTCTCGTGGAAACGTCAATTTACTGACAATACAAAGGGTACAGGAAAAATATGAATGCTAAATGGTGTTAGGAAGCCCTCAGCCAAGTCTGATCATAGGATTGTTGAGTTAAGGAAAGGTCTGGTTTCCTTAAATGTGAATGAGGTGGAAAAGAAAGGAAATTTGATTATTTATTTTATCTTTTTACATTTTGTAGTTTTTTTTCCCATAGTATCCTTTCCCTCCCCAATAGTCCTTCCAGATTTACTTAATTGTCTGTATGTGTGCCTGTGTACCATGTACACGCCTGGTGCCCGTGGAGACCAGAAGAGGACGTGGGATTCCCTGGAACCATATCATTGAGTGTGGCATCCCTGCCTTGTCTAGAAAACACTGCTTCCAACAGACATCCTATTCCTCTGACCCTTAACAGTCTTTGAGCCCACCTGAGGCATTCCCTGAGCCATAGGTATAGGAGTTGTTGTATATTCAAAGCCATTTTAAGGGTACAACAAAGAAGCAGTGAGTCCCCTCGTGTATCTGGGCAGCCACCACCAGACATTGTGGGACATTTTTTCATCTTTCCAAGCTGAAACTCCATCCCCATTTAGAAACCACTACCCATTGACTCGTTCTCCCAGCTCCTAGAAACTGGCATGCTAAGTTCTGTCTCTGAGTTTGAAAGGCTTATTTAAGGGCAGTCATTTAATCAGTTTTTTGGAAGGGGAATAGGAGTAACTCTCCCAATGGAGAAGAGAACTTTGTGATACTTTGTAAGGGTGTTATTAAAGATGAAGAGAGCTCTGGCCTCAGGGCCCCTTACTCATTATGTTCCATCACATCTTTTATAGGCAGAGAATTTTTTGTGGGCCTTTCCAAAAGGACAAATCAACGAGGTGCAGAAATCTTGGCTGATACTTTTAAGGTAGGTGAAAAATGTTTGTGCCTGGCTCAAAATAATTGCTTAATAAATATTCATAGCCCCATTGAATCACTATGTCATACATAATTGTGTTTATATTTCACCAGCTTTAAAAAATTATTCTTAGTATTTATACATTTGCTAGATGTTTTAAAGTCTATTAAATTCAAATTTCTCAGCAATTAGAATCCATTGAGCTCTCTGAGGAACAAGCTAGTGTGTTCACCTTCTGGCTTTTTCAAAGGCACAATTATACAAACACTAGCACGTGGTCCTGACAAAATCATTTTAAATAATTAAAGCCTGGAGACCCAGATATGCCTGATACAAAATGTGATTTTCAGATTAGAATGTGGGCTGTCCTCTACTAGGTGCTTACTGTGTACTAGAAACTGCAAAGTATTGCACATGCCTTCCCTCAAGGTCCCTTTATAGCTTGTGGGAGGATGCTTAGTAAGGGATACAAACTCACACACGTATACACACACACATGAACACACATGCACACACCTCTCCCCTCGGAATCCATGTTCCCTATGGGAATGTGAAGCTCTAACTGACCCACAGTGTCCACAAGGGATTCAAACAACCCTCCCAAAGGTAGACTGCTCCACAGGCGAAGGAGCTAACAAAGCTGGTGACACAGTCAAATTCTGGAAGGAAACTGTTTTTGTCTTACAAGCAGTCTTCATTTAACTGGCAATACCAATACCTGTGAGTCAGCCCTGCCATCCCTACCCTGACCCCCTCTGGGGGGGGAGTGCAGGGCGGGGGCAGGCCGAGTCTGGCAACCTTCAAAAGAGCAAGCATGGTTCTTTGTTTCTGGCAGTTTCTAATCTGTCTTGGAAATTGCTCTGCAATAACAACCCCCTCGTCTTTCTGTCTCTGCGTAGGACTACGCCGTCTCCACAGTCCCTGTGGCTGATACTCTGCATCTGAAGAGTTTCTGCAGCATGGCCGGGCCCAACCTGATTGCAATAGGGTCCAGTGAGCCTGCGCAGAAGGCCCTCAAGGTAAACACAAAACGTGCTTCTAGGTGCAGCGGCTGTGCCTGGCCACAGGCTAGACACCAGACAGGGTGTCAAGGACTGAATGGACTGGCACCTGAGACACCCCTGATGTGCACTGTCTGCTCTGGTGCTCACTAGGAGCCGAGAACCTCCAAGTGTGGAAAGGGCTCTCAGTAGTAAGCCATTCTTTATCATACATCAGGCTTCTCAACATGACCAGGTTTCTGAATGAGAAACACCAAATCCACGGTTTACCCCCTGGGGGTAGAAGGGTATGCCAGTAGCCAGGGATCTTTGCAGTGCTTTCTCCCTATAGTAGGGGAGTTGGTACATTAAGGGCTTGCTGCAATATTCTTATCCTTTTGTAGTACCTATACTACTGCATAATAACCTTCTAGAAAGTTCTGACTCTGAAGAACCTAGAAATCTTGCCTTCTCCACTTTTATTTCCAATGGTAAACTTTAGCACAGGAAATGTCCTCAATTCCTAGATGAAGCTGGGAAAGCCCTGGAATACTGTGACTTTCTGAGTCACGGAGCTAGATCTAGAGCGGATGATGAGGGCTTTCCATTGTTGCCATGTTTCCCCCTTGATAACACTTCTCTAGTCTGTAGGTTCACCCTGGGAGACAATCTGCAGGCTCTGGAAGGGTGTGGAGGCTTACTCTCCTTTGAGTTCCTTCCTGTCTGGCCCTTTATGGACTCTGAATATGGTCCTGGTGAGAGGTAAGGTGGCATTGTCTCCTCTGAGCTGGTAAACTAGATGGAGTGCTTTGCTGAGGCCACAAGACTAGTCCTAACTGGTCTGGAAGAGCAACTCCTTCCTCTGAAGTGGCCCTTCATGCAACATGCATGACTCTTCCATGAACCAAAACCCAGAGACTCCTCAAGCAAAGAGAGCGAGTGTGACCTGTGAGCCCCTGTATATGCTGTGAATTGCTTTGCTCTTTTGTGTCTCCCTCAGCTAAGCCAGGCACAGCCTCACTGGGAAGCAACAATTGTCTTGAGGACTTTCCCCTCTGTGGTGTTTGCAGCTCATTCAGTCTTTTTCTGTAACTGTCTGTGACAGCATTCGAATCTAGGGCTTTTAACAGCTGCTGTTAAATTATCTGCTGGATTTGATTACATTAGCATGGCTTTCTCTGGTTTCCTCTAGAGCTTGCCTTTTGTTTAGCTTCATCTGGAAAACTATGACAGCTTTCTGTGTACAGGAAAGATAAAGTCTCAAAAGAAAGCATTTGATGAATGGTGCCATCCAGGGGACCAGGGAAGATGGTATTTCTCCTTGGGGAGTAACTGTGGTATCTGTCCATGACAGCTGAATTGGTCTGCACGTGTTTGGAATCGATTGTAAGGGAAAGGAAACTTAAGCTGGCTTAAACCAAAGTAGAATTTAAAAAAACAAAACAAAACAAAACAAAAAAGCCCTTATGCCATTCTGAGAAGACTAGTCCTGAATTCCAACAGCATGCTGACCACTGTCTCAGCAGGTGCTGACTCTGTCTGGAGAAACTGACACAACAAAGTGAGAGATATTATGATACGGCTAGTTGTATGAAAAGATTCTAATTGCTACTCAAAGGTCAAAGTAAAGCACAGAGCGCCCTAATAGCTAATCAGAGAAAACCCTTTGGAAAAAAGGAACTAGAAGTATGTAAAAAAACAAAAAAACAAAAAAACAAAATCGCATTTGTCGGGGGTGGGGTTCTGTGAGAGAGTACTCCAGGTGGGGACATAGCATATTCTGAAACTGAACCAAGTGAGGTCATGAGATGTGAGCCGCTTGCCGCACGCCTCTGGCTGGAGTAGGTGGGATCTACAGATGTTGTAATTTAAAGATGAGGGCGAGAGAGTTGTTATGTGATGAGTCTTGGGTACATCTCTGAGTAGAAAGATCATTCCTTCAGAGGTGCTGGGCCAGGACTCCTTTCCCGTCATCCCCATTGCAGCCAGAAAAGAGGAGCACGGGTAAGCTAGCAAACTCCATCAACCAAAAAGAGGAGCACAGGTAAGCTAGCAAAATCCATCAACCAAAAAGAGGAGCACAGGTAAGCTAGCAAAATCCATCAACCAAAAAGAGGAGCACAGGTAAGCTAGCAAAATCCATCAACCAAAAAGTGGTTCACATCCCAGTCCCCATTGTGTGTCTTGGTGTGTGTCCCATATTCCTTCATCCTTCCCTTCCCATTGACAAGTTCTGTAAGATGGTACCTCTTAGAACATTCTAGAGAGACTTCATAGGCCTTCCTGCTGAGCTCATCTGAGTATGAACAATGATGGCTGTTCTCCACCTGAAAGCTTCTGTGGCAGAAGCTATAAAAAGCCCCTGCAAGCTTCGAGGGCACTCTTTGGAGATCATTTTTCCTTTGGCATATGTGCTGCCTAAACCATGGGCCTATGGAGCAGGCGAATGCCCGCCCGTCGTCTTCCTAACATCAAAACAATATCCTTTCCCTTTGTAGGAGAGCATGGCAAACTAACTCAGCAGGAGAATAACGAGCTTCCCCACAGGGCATGGTCTCAGGTCAGAAGGAGGTGGTCAGTGACATCACATTCAGGTGACCTGAGATGCTCCTTTATCTGAAAACAGGTTGGCTCCTGTGTAAGGCTGCCAATAAAACTGAGAGAGGGTAAGTCCAACTGCTGGCATGGAGATAGGCGACCGGATAAAGACGTGCATGAAGAGAGGTAGGAGCACACGTTTACAGAAGCAGAAGCATGTGGGTGTGATGCTCCCCACATGATAGGTGGAGCTAGTGAGATTGAGGAAATAAATATTTTGAGGAGTCTTGAGAGTCAAGGCTCTAGTTTCCTGGATCTTAAATCTCCTTTCCTTGACTTCCCGCTGTGTTCATCAGCCTGCTGGTGCTGTGACGGATAGCTGAGATAAATCAACTTTAAAGGATTAACATGAGTTTATCTCCCACAAAAGCACTGTCTTAGAGTGACAGAACTCACTCCCACTGGGTGCCACATCCTAAAAGTTACACCACTTCCCAGCAGTGCTGAAGGCGGCTGTTCAAGCCTCTGACACATGAGCCTTTTGGGGGACAACCCAGAATCAAACCATAGCTCCTGCCCTACTCAGTGCCCATTCTCTTTCTATTGGAAAACCTTTTCTAATTATCTTTTCCACCAGACATTGGTTCTGCTGATCTGCCTAGTCTCTCCTCTCTCCAGGTAGTTACTGCTGTTTACGTACGTATGTGTGGGTGTGGGTGTGTGTACTTGCTTGCTTTTGCCAGTACCCAAAGTTTGACTGGTTTCAGGGAAGCTACTGTTTTCCTCACCAACCTCACTATCTCTGTTATTGTCCTGGTGAAGAAGCCACAGCCACTTAGGCATTTCTTAAAGGGAAAATCAATTAGCAGAGGTGATCGTATACACCAAAAACTTTCCTTATCAAGCCCTCCTCTCTGATATGTTTCCTTCCGAATCTGAAACCTCTTTTCCACACATTCATTTAAAGCTGAGACCCCCCCCCCTGGGGAGGGGTGAATAAATAGTCTTACTGTGTTTGAAACATTTGCCATGGTTTTCTATCTATTCTTGGCTAACACGTGGGTTCTTAGTCATCATATAATCTAGGTTGCAGTGAAACTGAGGTCTTGGTTTTAATTAACCTCTTCTTGCTATAGTTTAACTTGGGTTAGATGAAACCAGTTGGTAATGTCTCCACCTTTGATCACTGCAGGAGAAGGTAACAGTACTGGCGCCTTGTCCAAAGAGGACTTTGTTATTGGCCCTGCAGGCCATCTTTGTAAACTGTAATTCATATCTATCCTTACTGTTAGAAAAAATGTGCATTTGTCCACTTGATTTCTTGGTGGACCAAGCAGTGTCTGTGGTCTACATTCTTCAGTAGCCTATTGGAATTCACTGAGTCTAGAGGCAGCTTGACTTCAAACCTGAGCCCCTCTGCCAGCAAAAGGTCTGAATATGAGAAGGGGCACCCTTCAGGCAGCTCAATGACAGGAAGCTCATTCATACGGAAGCTTAGGGAGCATGAGACCACACCCAGGAACGCACAGTCCACAGTGACACGGTAGTCCTGAAGGCCCTATTCTCCAGTGTTGGGTGTCAGGAGAGCCTTGCTGGCTTCAGTGTTGTCACATGTCATCCTAGGTGCTGTAATTACATCTTGGGGGTCCACTTGGACTGCTTCCCAGTCCTAGGAGGCAGTAGGAACCAATATGTATACATCCACTGTGCACTGTCTATCTTGAATCATTCTGGTTCTCTCAAAATCACTAGGGTATGCCCACAGTGACACTGACATACTCCCAAGGAAGCTCATAAATTTGGGGAGATATTGAAAAACCCTCAGAGTTCTGAAGGTCATCAAAGAAACTACTGCTCCTGGTGGTTGATGGCACACACTTCTAATCCCAGCACTCAGGAAGCAGAGGCAGATAGATCTCTGTAAGTTGGAGGCCAGCCTGGGCTACAGATCTAGTTCCAGGACAGCCAAGGTTACACAGAGAAACCCTGTCTCAAAAAAACAAAAAAGAAAGAACGAAAACTACCCAAATACTGGTTGATCTGCTTGAGATCCTGTATAGAGAAAGGTCACTGAGCACAAACAAGTTTGTATTCCATAACCTGTTCTTAGAGGGGGGCACATTCAAACAAGAGGAATTGCATATACTATTATTAGTAAAGGATAGTGGCTGTGGGGGTGGGGCGCACTGGACTGCTTTTCCAGTAGGTGGTGATATTGCTAAAGGCTTTATTTCTCCCAGTTTCAAGAGGTGGGGTTATCTCTCAGTTGAGAGTACTCAACCTTATTTATGATGACTATTATGTTTGTATCCAATTTACATGATTATAAAAAATCTAGGTTTTCTGGTAATGCAAACAAAGTTGATATAAAGCACTTGCTCAACTATAGTGGGAAATTACCAATATGGAGCCAAGAGGAAATATAAGGGTATTTAATAGGGAAAAGCCTTACTTACAGAGCGACCTAGCCAGTCAGCATGGCAGCAGTCTGTACGTAAGCC